TTGAGTGTCACAGACCAGATTTGTTTTCTTTAAGAAATTTGGTGATGAAACCAAGAAATTTGTCGCGAGCAGGAAGGACGACATCTATCTTCAGCTGCTCCTGTAGGGAAAGAAGGACAGTTAATCTGCAGTTTTTAAAAAGGAAAAACAAGCAAGAAGCTCAGATAATCATGCCGTTTTATACTTACCACATCACCCTCACTTTCTCCAATAGCAGCTCTCCACCATGGCTTGATCTCAAAACGATAATCTGCATATTGATCCGCAAGGGAGTCAACGATTGCTTCCTCTAGTGGGGATTTACCAGCAAGGCCTAAATATAGCTTACATTGGACTTCAGCATAAGCCGCAATTTGGCCTAATTTGCATTAAAGTCATAAAATCGGCAAGTCACGGATTTTTTTCCTGAGTACATTTGGAAGAAACACCAAGTACCACTGAATGCACCTCCAAACGCTCATAAAGCTCTTCTCAGTGAATGCAGAAGAATTATTTGCGAATAGCTGCGTATTTTTTAAAACAGAACTAATGCATTTGACTTACGTTTAACTGCCCAACCACCCTGACTGGCTCGGTGGTATAGCGCTTTTGTGCTTGATTGCAATTCCGTAAGTGGAGAGTTCAAATTCAAGTCACAGATAATTTTTTATTACTACTTTACTATCATATAGAGAGAAGGACTAAGAGTATAGTGAGTAAGCATGCTATTTGCTCTAAGGTTGGTATTTTGCTTTGGTTAGCAAATATCAAGGGAAGTATCGCAGCAGCATTTGAGATACAGTAACTAAAATTTTATTGCCGCTTGGCTCGAGTATCTTTAATTTTTCTTACAAGATGCTCAACTACAAACGCAAAATGACCACGAATGAGAAATTCATTTTTAAGTCTACTTTTCACAATACGTGTTTAGCATGCGGAAGCATAAAGCCAAAAACCTATTATCCTTGAGATAAGTCGATTGTAACACTGACAAATATTGTATTGTTCTATAACGAAACCTGCCCCGATAAATTCCCAACATTGAAAACCACCATTTGACTGACCGAATTCCCTAGCCAGATAGCGACAAATAGCCTTTGAT